GCGGATTTAAATCTAGCGGTTCTGTTGTGTTTGTGTCTCAAGTTCAAGGTAGTGACGATTCTCTCCGGCCAATCGTTTATCAGCAGAGTTTACACGTCACGTTTTGGTAACAGTACGGTTCACTTGCGGTGCTTTTCCACTGCGTGGTATGACTCTGCTCGGCACGGCACGGCTCGGTTTGCGTTTCCACTGCAGTTCAGTGCCACTTTAGAGTGGGCAGGATTATTCACATGTCGTTTATAGTTGCGCCGCCTCTACTGCCCGACTCCTGAAAAACGCTTTCATTCCGTGTCGCCCCATCAAGCTCTTGCTGGATCCGCTCCTCTGCTATCAACGAGAGGAACGTCTGTATTTCCTCAACAGACAGCGAAACAGCCACTTTTTGGTTGTTAAAAAAGGTGCGCTCGTTCAAAACAGTTGCGTTCGATCCTTCGCTGTCTGTGCTGATTTAAATCTAGCGGTTCTGTTGTGTTTGTGTCGCAAGTTCAGTGACGCAGGTAGTGACGATTCTCTCCGGCCAATCCGTGATCAGCAGAGTTTACACGTCACGTTTTGGTAACGGTACGGTTCACTTGGAACCTCAACCGAAGTGGTACTAAAAAAAGTACCAGGTACCAGGTACTGTACCCAGTGGAAAACCCCCAAAAAGTGAACCGCACCGAGCCGTACCGTGCCGTACCATGCAGTGGAAAAGCGTTGGAACCTCAACCGAGGTGGTACTAAAAAAAGTACCAGGTACTGTACCCAGTGGAAAACCCCCCAAAAGTGAACCGTACCGAGCCGTACCGTGCCGTACCATGCAGTGGAAAAGCGCCATTGGACTACACTACTTGGGAAAAGAATACCCCCAGGAAGTGATGACATTATCGGAGGCTCTAAAAGAACGAACTCCTTGACAGGTAAGCAACTTATACTTGCTTTTCCACACAGAGCAATGGTCTGCTTCGCTGGAACAATCACAGGTTCTTTGCTTTGTAGCCTCACTAGCCCAAGGCATCCATTGGTATTCAGACTGTGCCGTAGTTCAAGAGTTTTTAGCACGGCATTGTATCCATATCGCAGAGAATAGGGTTCAGGGCCATTCAATTCAGAACATTCAGCATACAAAGAATCGAGAGTGTTAGTCCCGATCAAGACTTGAGACTGTTTTCCAGGGTTGAAATCAGGAACGATTAGTGCAAGCGTGGAAATTTCAATTTCAGATCCTACCATGTCTTCTGGAAAAGTGATGGGGATTTCTATGTATCCTTTATATGGAACTGGTTGACCATTGGCACCACTGACCTCAAGCAGATGATCCAAGGGCTTTATGGGGCGCTTGGTCAAACAAGCTTGATAAAAGGACCAAGGAACATTGGTCACTTGCGACCCTGTGTCCAGCAAGCAATGACATTCAGTTCCTGCGATCTTGACTTGCGCAGTACACTTGGATCCTACTAATCATTGTATACTTGAGCGAGGGTGTGCAATGAATTTACGGTGCACTTTTGAATGTTTTCTGTTGGGACGACTTTCAGGTTGACTAGCCCCAGTTTGTCCCGCAACTGGAACTGTTCTAAACCGTTTAAAGAAGCTGTACCCACATGACTGTTCTCTTTGTCCCACTCTTGTTGCTTCAGCCGCAACTCGTCTCGTTTCTTTTCAACCAGCTTAGAGTTGGGAGGATTCTCGCAGACAATCGAGATGTGACCATCCTCACCACACCTAAAACAGTAACCCGCATTTTGGGACAGGGCTACCGGTTAACTTCATCGGTTAGTTAGCGACAAACTCCGAAGTGGTGGGATAGGGCACAGTCTTATGCTTGGGTTTGACAGTCTTTCTGGGCTTTGAGAGAGTCAATGAAGTTAACTGCTCCTTCAGCTCAGCGATTTGCTTCTTTAACTCAGCTGTCTCAGACAACAACTTGGATTCAGGAGGGGATTTGCTTGCAACGGCAGAATCATGGCTGTAAGCATGAGCAGATCTGGGCGATGGGTGTAGTTTCTGCTTAGAAACACCAATGTGGCTTCTCATGCGCAACAATTTCTGTGCACTCGTCTTCTCTAGTTCTGATGGAACGCAATAAGTCTTGGAATTCAATAGGGTCGTCTCCATGAGTATCAAGATGAAGTTCAGAAATGAGGACGTTATCACAACAGCCTCTGCAAAACTGCCGTAGAAGTTGATGGCTAGTGTCCGATGATTTAATTCCACCTCCCCTGACTGCCTTGCTCAGAGCAACTTGAAGTCTCTGGAGATAGCTAGATGCTTTATCTCCATCATTCTGAAATGTGTTCATGAACTTTGAGAACAACTCATCACCATATTCGATTGCACCATAAGCTGAATCAAGCATATTGAGGTAAGCTCTGGGGGAAGCACGAGGCCCTAAAGATTTAACAATATCAGTGGCAGGAGGTAAAAGACTCTCCATGATTCTTCTTACTCTTTGTAAGTCAGACACAGAAGGGTCATCAAGAAGTAATTCAACATTACAAAGCCAAGTGTCATAATCAGATTCATTACTGGGCTGGGGAATTCTCCCTGAGAAAGGGCGGAACTTAACTACAGCGGTGGATGGAGTTGCCGAAGCGACTTCACTTTTGACAATATGCTCCACAATAACTTTCTGCACCTCAGCAGGATTGAGTTGAACGTGACTCATAGTACCTGACAACCGTTTTTCAGACCGTGGCAAGTCATCTTGATCAAGTGTTGGCACATTGGGAATGGAACTAGGACTCTGGACATTCATCTTGGAAGCATTCTGCTCTCTGATGGAATTGAGCTCATCAGGTGCAGGCTCGTCTTCATCCATCTCGTCTGGAATTAAGGAGCTCAAGATCTGAGAGAGTTCTTCTCGTAACAAAGCGTTGAAGTATTTTCCACTTTGCTTAGCAATGATTTTCAGGGTGAATAAGTAAGAGGTTGTAGCACCAGAACTCTCCTAGCAAGAGTAGACATTGCTCAGGGCTCTTATCTGGTAAGTTAAACTAGATTTTTCTTTATCTGTGTAGCTATGGGGTAGCAAGGGACTTATTGATTCGATAGCTGATCCAAAGTTGTACTCTACAATGGTGTGGTTATGATACTTGGACTCAGGATCGTTAATGGGAAGGACTCTTGCAATGGAACCGTGACGTTTTAGAAGATCAAAGACCTCTTCATCCTCAAGAGTGTTGATTGGTCCACTGACTAGAAGAGCATTTAAAACTTTGATGCTTTCCTTCTGTACTATTTCCATGTTCTCACTGTTGATTTATTTGCTACACAATTAAACGGATTTAAATTTCTCTTTTGTTGACTATTTTTTCTTTTGAATTGTAAAATATCAATAAAGTTATCAATTACACCTCCTGGCTGGCTCGCCACTTTTTATGTAGCACACGTGTCAAATAATATTACACTTGTTACTAATATTAACCATAGGCCAGTAGGTTCGACTATGGAGGTGTAATGAAGACAACACTGGTTAAATAAAGAAAATCTTTGTATTAAAACAAACTATTATAGAATTTGTTGATTTTTGAAAAGAGAAATAAAATGCTAAATCAACAATTTGTCACAATTTTTGTTCAGTAGCAACACAGAGTATTATGACTTTTCAATTCAATTCAATTGACGGTAAGTGAACAATTTCACCTGACTCTTTCTGTTTGTTCGTTCAGTTATTCTGTTGGGTGCACCCTCTAGGCTATATGAATCTCCTAGAATACTACACCAATATCAATATCAACAAATAAATACACAGTTCACAATTGTAAAATGTAACAGTTCACTCAATCATATCCAAAAATAAATCCGTGGAATTGAACACAAGGCAAATTAAACAGTTCAGAAGAAAACTATTCAATAAATGAGTTCAAAAGACTCGTTGAAAGGATCACTTCAAAAAGGTTGAGTTCAAAAAGTTCAGTTCAAAAAGTTCGTTTGGAAGATTCGATTCAAAGGATTCAGTCCAGGGAATCCAAAAATCATTAGAATCGTGGAGAAATTATTTGATTCAACAGTTCCAAATTGACAAAAAAACAACTCCTTCCGAGCAAAATAATACTCCTGAACAGTCACTTAAACAGCTCAGCTCAGTTTATGAAACGTAGCAGGTAATCAGAACTTTCCTACCCAATTCCTCGGGTGTTGGTTGGAACCTAGCTCTCGCGACAATCAATGTTCATCTCACTGGGAAGGCTCGCCATCTTACAGTGTCATGCTGAAATTAATTCAGTTCCAACGTAGGACAAAAAACCTGACCTGCATATACAACAGGCAGCTTTTAGTTCACAAAACAAATTAAATTCACTGTTTTCAGTTACACATCAATTCATACACATATTTCCCTTTTTAACATTTAACAGTTATATTTTCGTTGTACTTTGAAGGTTTAGATAACGTCACACTATTTAAACAAAAAAAATGTTAATTCGTTATCATCATCAACAAAATATAACATTAGAAACTCATATATAAAATTGTTTTTTAACCATTACATCCTTTTTGTCTTGTAAAACATCAGAACTCATCAATATTTCACTCCAAAAAAGAAATAAGTTTTTCACTCTCTATCTACTGAATACATTTGTACACATTTAATCATATTTATAGCAGTTTACACATTGCAAAATGTGTACTCACCAAATCCAAAGAAAATAAAGCATAAGAAGGTTTCTGATTTTATCTTCTCTGACGAAGAGAAAAGAAAATGGCTACTCCCATCCAGCAACTAGCGTGGTGGTGCTTCTTCTTCTTCTTCTTCTAATAACGTTTTATGGCGGATGGCAAACCAACTTCTAGTGCATTTACCGCCACCAACTGGACTGGAGTGTGCAGCACTAATAAGCAACTAATATATACATATTTATATATAAAATAAAATAGATTTAGACAGATTTGTGAACAATATTTGAGAGAAATAGGTCTTTTGTGTACATAGAAAAAGTCTTAGATCTTTGAGTTCAGCTCATGAAAAATGGGGGCAAAAACAAAAGTGTTGCGTTTATAATTTTGTTCAGTAGTATGCCCTATTCAGATGCGAGAAATAATTGTATCTTCCTTCCTATTCCTAACAACACTTCTTCCATTTCCTACTTGCTGCTGAATATTATACATTTGTCTGCCCTTGCTATCACAGTTCCATACTTCTTGCCATTTTTTGTTTATGAATATATTAATTTTCCCTTTAACCTCATTTTTGCTAAGAGTCACTTGAATATCTATTTCTGAGTGTATAAGAGCTTGCTTAGCAAGCTTCAGACTTAACTATGTTTGTTGTCGTCTTCTAAATAATGCCGCGAGTGGGGCTTGAGGAAGTGACGTC